ACTCCTGAGGTGGTCCCATTTAAATTTGGTGAAGATCTGATGCTGGTCTTCGGAGATATACAATGGAACTCTTCAAAAATAGACGTTAAATCGGTCGTGATGGCTGCAATCGCTTGGATGTTTATATGCTTGTCAAATATTTTTATAGGATATTACAAATAAAAATGGAAAAATAAAAAAAACTTTTTTGCAAAAAAAAAACCGACATCAAAATAAACACAAATCGAACACAAAAAGAAAAACACTAAAAAGTGAAAAATAACTTTAGCTTCAGAAGCCGGTGACAAAAATACCAAATCAATCAAACAAAGGTCAAGCTTCAGAAGCCGGTGACAAAAACACCACATCAATCAGACAAAGGTCAAGCTTCGAAGTCGATGGTTGTGGGCTTCGGTTTCCGCATATAGACTCAGAGTGGTCCTTTATGCGTCGAGGATTGGTTGACTAGGTGAGCCAGCCAAGCTCCTTCCAGAAGCGCAGAAGCCTCCTGGGGCGTTCACAGGCTTCTAGGAGCGACTTTATATCATGAATGATACTTGCCCGTTGTGTGGCCACTCCCTCGCATTCCAGGACTACGTGGACGGCCGTTTCTTCAGCTTCCAGACATTCCCTGCACAGGGGACTGTCCTTCGCATTGATTATGAATAGTTGTCGGTTCAGGGCTAAATGTCCTGTAATAGTTCCGACAACCATTCTGATTTCCGGTCTGCTAAGACTGATCAGTCTGCAGGTGAGTCGTGGTGTGACTTGATTCAGCACCAGTTTGGACTGTCTGCAGCCGGGTGAGTTTTTCCACCTCCGGTTGTGTGCTTCACAGGTCCGTTGCCTGACCCAGCATCGTATTTGGTTAAACGATATAGGCAGGAGTGGGGTTGGGCCAGAGGTTGGGGTTGCCGAGCCCCTCCTTGCCAACTCATCTGCGGCATCGTTCCCGTGTGAGTTACTGTGCCTTTTAATCCATTGGAGGAGTACCCCATTGAATATAGCGAGCTGTTCCAGTGCTTGGCATTTGAAGACAATACCAGAGGTCATTGTGTTGCCCTCCAATGCCTTTAAGACGGCCATGCTGTCGGATATTATTCGGATGTTGTAGTCCTTGATACCCCTTGACATGGCCGTTGTGGCAGCGTAAGTTATTGCCACACATTCCCATTGAAATATGGAAATGTGTTGGCCTAACGCTAGTGATATGTTTATATTTAGGTCTTGCGAGAAAACTCCGGCTCCAGTTCCTGACCTAGTCTTGGAACCGTCCGTGTAAATTCGGACTTCGTTAATGCTGGATTGATCTCGGTCATTTCCATGTATCTGGATGTAGTATCTTCTTGTGAAGATATGGTGTTTTGGGATTCTATCGCATGGAGCTGCTATCAGTGGTTCGTATTCCACCAATTGATCCCATAATTTGGAGTGCGATCCCTCACTTTTGTGCCATAGACCCAGGTGTTTGAGTCTAATGATCGCCATGGCGGCCTCCTGCTGTATGAATAGATCCAGGGGTGGCAGACCAAGAGCCACCTCCAGTGCGGCAGTAGGCGTTGTGCGCATACAGCCAGTGACCGCGGAGCATGGGAGTCGCTGGAATTGCTGCAGTTTGTTTATGACAGTGCTTAGCTCTGTTCTCTGCCACCAGACAACAGCACCGTAAGTGATTAATGGTCTTATGACTGTCCTGTATAGCCATAAAGTAATTTTGGGTGATAGTCCCCAGCTTTTGCCGAGTAGCCGCTTTGCATTGGCAGAAAATAATGCAGGCTTTATTCAGTTTTTCATCGAGGTGCTTATTCCACAGGAGGTTACTGTCCAGTATTACTCCTAGGTATTTGACCTCTTTGGTAAGAGTAAGTTGTGTTCCAAATAGCTTGGGAAGTCGGAGATTTCCTAGGCTGCGTTTGTTTGTGAACATGATCATCTCTGTTTTGGATGGGTTCACTGTCAAGTTGTGTGCTACGCACCATTGTTCCACGATCTTCAGTGCAAGTCTCATTTGATCGCATGTAATGCTCTCAAAAGGACCGCTGATGAGAATAGTAAGTCTGCATCGTCTGCATAGCCTATTGTGAGGAATCTTTGGTCATTAAGTTGTGCGATGAGCTCATCCACAACAATGTTCCATAGAAGGGGGGAGAGTACACCGCCCTGGGGGCAACCTCTAGCCACCACTGCTCTAGTCACTTCGCTTACAGTGATTTGAATAGCTCTATATCTTAGCATGCTGTCGATCCACCCTGAGATTGTGGAATCTACACCATGCCTAGACAGAGCTTGGCTAATGCTGGTGAAGTTGGTCTTGTCAAAGGCTCCCTCGATATCGATAAAGGTGGCCAGTGTTGACCTTTTGTGATTTAGACTGTCTTCTATATATGAAACAACTCGATGTAGGGCAGATTCTGTTGATTTACCCATCGAGTATGCGTGTTGATTGAGGTGTAGAGGGTGACTGACTAACGCAGTTTCCCTGATTTCCCTATCTATTAGCCTCCCGAGAACCTTTAGTAAGAAAGATGTGAGACTAATAGGTCGGTGTGATTTGGGTTGTGTGTAGTCACCTTTACCAGGTTTGGGGATGAAGACTACTTTAACTTCTCTCCATTTCAAGGGGATGTACTGATGCGCCAGGCAGCCCCTATAAATTTTTACAAGATGGTTCAGTAGTGTCATATCACACCATCTCAGTAGGCCTGGGAAGACACCATTTAGTCCTGGCGCCTTGAATGGTAGGAAGCTGTTAATTGCCCATCTTAGTTTGTCATGGTTGACAACTTGGCCGTATCCCAGTCTGTATCATCTGGTGGGTTTTCCCATCTGTCTTCCCATTTTTCCATCACATCTGATATGCGACTTCCAGGGAAGTGTGTTTTTAATAACAGCTCTGAGGCTTCCGAGTCTGTTTTGGTATACTCACCATCAGGCTTCTTCAGTGAGCCAAGATTGTGTTCGCCTCTACTACACAGTATGTTTTTGACTCTATTACCCTGGTTGTTGTTCTCTATGTTAGTACAGAAGTTTCTCCAGCACTCAGTTTTCCTGGTTCGAATTCTCTCCTTATATTGTTGTCGGGCCTGCGTGTAGGCATCCCAATGTTGGTCTAATCACGAGTTTTTTGCTTTTTTGAACAACTTTCTCACTTTACGACGTAGTCTTTCCAGTTCCGGACCCCACCATTGGTGGTTTGTTCTGTGGTCCAGTTCTGGGTGTGGAAAGTGGGCATGTTTGTTCAAAGCAATCGATCAGTGTCTGTGTAAGGTTGACAACATGACTGTCAATGTCCTTAACAGTCCCCGTAGCGTATCTTGGGTTGATGCTTCGCAGTTTCTCCGCAGTAAGATGTTCATACCGTTTCCGGTCCATTGTGCGGGGATTCCGTCGGGGATCGGGTAGTTTAAGTTTCATTTCAAAGTTAAATTTGATCCAGCGATGGTCTGAGCACGATGCTTCGTTCGAAACATGCCAGTTCGATATGTATTGCGATGCGTGCTCACTTGCTAATATAAGATCAATTATAGTTTGGGCCCTGGATGTGACAAATGTCGGCTCCGAGCCCACGTTGATAATGTTAAGGTTAGTTGATAATAGGAACGATTCAAAGTCGGTGACAAAAGCACTAAATCTATCAAACAAAGGTCCCTTGTATGACGCGACAAATCTTTAAAAAACCTGAAGAGAAAATATGTAGTGGGCCCTAGCTAGTGACCAACCCGGTCTGAGCAGTACTGCTTCTGAAAGATTTATAATTGAAGGAGACCGAGACCAACCCGGTCCGAGCAGTACTGCTTCTGAAAGATTTATAATTGAAGGAGACCGAGATCTCGTTAGTTCAAATAATTTTGCAGCTGAACCCCATACCCTTTATTACAAGAAATTATTATACCAATTACGGAATATTGATAAGAAAGACGCGATTGAATATGATTTTTATTATGATTTTTTATTGATTGATATTTGATATGATTGAATATTTGAAATAAATATAATATTATTTTTTGGTATTGATTTTTATTGATTCGTGTTCAGTATCAGTGGTATAGTCACCTCCTACTAACTTACTATTTAGGTATTATTCGTGTACACAAAACATTTCGTAATATTGTATAACGCAGTCATAGTTTGAATACAGTTGTTTCATCTGATTATTATACGTATACTACAGAAGATACGCGTCGAGCGAGCGCGTAGGTACACGCGCGATCGTTTTCGATGTGAGGGGAGCGGGCAGGGGAGCGCGGGTGAATTCTTAAATTTTGCTGGCTTTATACGCGCTCTTAAGCTGTTACGGACTAACATTTAAAACGTATATAGAGGAAATTAAGATACATAGATACAGTTAAGATTTTTAAAAATAATAGTAGATAAAAGAATTAGGAAAAAGCACAAAGATGACTATAATAAGTTATTTTCCGAATGTGCCATCATACCAGTCAATGAAAAAGTTAAATGTTTAATAGCATTAGAATCATATCATAGTGAAGAGTATAAGATAAAGAAAAAATATCATTACAGTGTCAGAGTAATAAAGAAGGGAAAATTAGAGCAGTTAAAAGTAAATAATTATTATGGGGAAAGGACTAGGAAGTATGTAGTACCAAAGTTATGTAATAAATATCAAATACTAAGGGAGGACAAGAAAATAAAATGTAAGTTTAAACTAAAACTAAGACTAAAAGAAATGTTTGGATATGGCAATAGATTAAAACGCGTACATAAATAGGGAAGCAGGTACCCAGGAAATAGTCAGGGTACACATATTTATGTATTGTTTGTCTTGAAATTATTTTGTTTGTTAAGTTAGTACACCGTTGTAGGAGGAATTTAAAAACTAGCATTTAAGTACTTAGGTTATTATAAATTGAGCGGAACGCCTACAAACTGTCAGAACAGTTTGGCGAATCGAGAACTTGTAAACAAATGTAAATCTTAGTGTGATTAAAGTTTTTGAAAAAAAAAAAAAAAGTTTACTTAACTGTATGCCCAGGACCTTGACATTGTTTTCTTTTTGGCAGATTACAACGATACGAATTTTGTTCCTTAAGTCTGTGCTGCGCCAGGATATGTCCTGGTTCGATACGGATACCGAATTTAATTTAGCATCAAAGATGTCAGAGTAAGTATTCTTTATAAATTATGTATCAGAGATACGTCGTAGGTACATAATTATTTCCTTGTATTTAGGAAAGAAAATTTCCACATTTTTGACATATTTAAATTCTAATTACACTTGCAATATTTATTAATAAATATTAAAAACGGACGGCACCCACTTGTGACTTATGTGATAGAAGTTTTATGTACTTTCCCAGTCGGAAAGATTAAGTAAATTTTAAGTAGCGTAAGAAATGGCATTTTTTATCTTCATTTTCTCTTAATATGAGGTATATCCTAGGCTGAATTTAGAAAAACATCTGTAATGAAAATATTTTAATTGTTTTGAAATCAAAACACGTCTCACTGTCTGCACTTTAAAAGGTACGAAATAAATACTAAACTAGGACTGTTGAATACATGAGTCTCGAAACACGGCACCACACTTTATTAAACCTGACACGATGGTCTGTTGGAGAATAAAATAGAAATAGAAGATATAACAATTTAATTATTTCAACAGAATAGTATTTATATAAATCACCTAACTAAAGCAGGAGAATTTTTAGTTTATTTGTGTCAACAACAGAATTAGCACCATTGTCTTTTTTGTTGAACAGGAACATAACAAAGATAAAAGAAGGAATGGGAGAAAAATTAGGAGCTGTGTCAAATTTAATAGGCACCTCCCTATTCTGCTTATGTATTTCATTTCCATTGGGATGGGAACTGACTCTCGCTTGTGCTACTTTGATACCTTTCTGCGTCGCTGCGGCCGTCGCGCTAACTAGTGTAAGTATCTTTGATATACCTATTTATTGATTTTGTATTCGGCCCCATACACCACACCAAGGAGGCTACCGCGCCGTCAATATTATTATTATCTTATTTATGTCAGTGTGTTACTGAAGAGTAATGCTAAATATAGATATTATCTCTCTTCAATGAGTAAATGGACGTTGAGTCACTACTCACAAACGCTCCCTTTGACCGTTACTTTTACTAGAGAGCCAAGGTCGTCATTCAAATAACATCCCTCGTTTTATCGGTGATTTTAATATTGAAATAGAAAGTTTCCAGATGATGTTACCATTTGATTTTGTTTTGTAAGTTGTGCTAATTTCATAATAAAAATAAGAAAAAGACTGTACTATATCAGTACCGACGACCGGATGGCGTAGTGGTTTGTGTGACGACCGGATGGCGTAGTGGTTTGTGTAACGGACTGCTATTCCAAAGGTCGCGGGTTCGATTCCCGCTCAAGTCAAACATTTGTGTGCATGAACATTTGATGTTTGATTTGGTCTGGGTGTTTCTATGTATAATGTGTATGTATTTACAAAAAAAAAAAGTATATATGTATTTATATCAGTTGTCTAGTACCCATAGTACAAACTCTGTAGTTTGGGACTAGATGGCGTTGTGTGTATGTGGTAGAATATTATATTATATTATATATATCATTAGTATCATAGTAGTGAGTCATCTCTCATCTCTCATCATAGTAGTGTTTCAATATTTGCATTTATATTTCTTTTTGTGAATAGAATGCGGTGTAGACTTTACGGAGCCTCCCTTTTAATTCTCCCTCCTACAATATTTACAGAAGTTCGTCTAAAAATTATTTTAAAACTATTTTTCTTGTCTTTAATAACTTCAAATTCTTTATTTTAAATATTATTGTTTATTCTAGTATCAAACAAAATCAGCAATTCGCGAGATGGAATCTTACAGTCAAGCAGGCAAGCATGCAGAAGAAATTATGAAATCTGTTAGAACTGTAGTAGCATTCGGCGGTGAGAACAAAGAAGTTGACAGGCAAGTGACTCCATACCATGTGCTACCTAAGGGCCCAGTGTGAGTTTATTTCACATCAACTCGCTTTCAACGATGAGCGTTGCGATTGGTAGAGATTTTAGTGCGGGTCAATCGCAACGCCGAATGCAGTCACCGTATCGAGTTGATGTCAAAATAAACTTAAACTAGGCCCTTTGTTATCGTTTATCTCGACACTCGACAACCATGGCAGGGTCACTGACACGTTCGATGATAAGCAGACGACCAAAGGCCATCGTGTATATTACAAGGAAATAAAACCAACCAAGTTAATTCATATAGTAAGCACCAATAAATTAACTTGGTTGGCTTTATTTCCCTGGTTTAGTAACTATGCATCATCACAATTCAAATTTTCAACTAAATTTAATATTTTAATTATTCTTCTCTCTTATAAAGATATCCTATTATAATTTGTAGGTACAGTAATCTGCTGCAACCTGCAGAACAATATGGCTGTAAACGAGGCTTTTATAGTGGACTTGGAAACGGTTTTAACTGGATATTAACATTTTGCCTTAATGCAATTGGGATAACTTATGGAGCCCGTTTGGTAATTCGAGACATGTACAGGCCGGAAGAGGAACAGAAATATTTTGTTGGAGTAGTATTAAGTGTAAGTATTGGTGTATGGGGCCAAAAAGTTCTCTAGTGGCTACCGCGTACCGGAAGACGGAGCATGGGTAGGTCCCCCACAAGTTGTTGTAGCGAACCTTGGGGGAGGCCTACGTCCAGCTGTTAACGTCTTTCGGCTGAGATGATAACGATGATGTCTGGTGTCTCAAACTATATTCTCTAAATTTATATAATTATGTACCTACCTATAAATATACACATTTATATGTATATACATTGCAAAAGTTTTTAACCACCATGCACCTAACTGACCTTGCTATTTTTGCCCTGAAGCATCTGAATGAAACATAACATTAGCTCGTAAAAATATACCATATATTTTCACCTCACTGCACGCCGTTCATTGGATTGTCAAGTCATCACAAAAACGTATAGTAAAGTCCTCTTAATTAGTTGGAAGAGGGGTAAATTATTATTTAATTATCATTTGGAGAGACATTATATTGCAAGAACTATAATTATGAAACAATCTTTGTAAAATGACCATCACAAAAATTGCCAATGTTCTAATTTGATTGCGGTTCTTTCAGATTTTATTTAATATATCAATGGCCACACAATCACTGACAGTCTGCATACCACACATTGAAGTATTTGCTGCAGCTCGTGGAGCCGCCACCGGTATATTCCAATTATTAGACAAAATTCCGAAAATAGATAGCTCTGCAAAGACTGGAATTTCGCCAGAAAGTGTTCTTGGTGAAATAACTCTGGACAACGTAAATTTTAGTTATCCTTCGCGGCCAGACATGAAGGTGACATATAATATTATATTCAAATATAAAGAAATTATTAAGATTTGCTTAAACAAAATTTAAACACCGCAATATAAAATATCTTAATACTGTGGAGTATTAAAATATTTTAATACTAAATGTAATTCAAGGGGTTCATCTTGTGGTCTTAGATAATCTTCATTTCAACGAAATCTCAAGCTATTATTGTATGTTCTCTAATCATCATAGTCATTTAATACTTATGTAACTGTGATTAGGTATTTTCTTAAGGTTTATTTTAAATCAAATATTAGAGAATATGTTTGTAAACTTGTTAAAAAAAAATATTATATTAATAAATCACACAGAACAGACCTAATCTAATTATTTTTTTTGCTCAGATTCTAAACAGTTTCTCCGCAACTATTAAACCTGGAGAATGTGTAGCACTCGTGGGATCATCTGGTTGCGGTAAATCGACTGTACTGCAACTATTACAAAGACTGTACGATCCTCTCTCAGGATCAATTAAGCTTGATGGAACAGATTTAAATAAGATTAATTTGAAGCGGCTCCGATCATGTTTGGGTTAGTAGTGTGTGATATGCTCAAAATAAATAGATGTATTTGTGTATTTTTATTAATTAATTTATGATTTTTAGGTGTGGTGGGCCAAGAGCCCGTTTTATTTAGCGGCACCATATTCGAAAATATAGCGATCGGTTATGAAGAAGCAACACAAGAAGAAGTTGAAAGGGTTGCATCTATAGCATATGCACATGACTTTATTAAAAATCTCCCTATGGTTCGTATTAATAAATTGTCATCTTTTGGTATTATAGGATGTGTTGACAGTCTGTGTGGTGGCGGATTAAAAATACGAAGTATCACCAGCAGTCGGCGCTTATGAAATTCACGAGATTAATAGGGTATTAATCTCGTGAATGTCGTAAGAGCCGACTAAAAGAACTAACTGCAGGACAACTGTAATGACTAGGCAAACTTGAAATAAACCCTGTACCAACCCATCTGGTCAGCGTGGTATAGTAGGCCAAAACCTCCTTTCTAAGGAAAGGCCTATGTCCAGGAGGACTGTCATAGACTGGTGATGTGTTCAGTTGAATCATATCTTATACATACATGGAAAACGCAGTCGCATCCATGTTCTCATTGGTAGTGTGTAACAATATTATTACAATCAAATAATGGTATATCTGAATCGCCATAAAATTGCATATTTCTCAATTGATATAGTCATAGCTTATAACTTATCAAAAAAAGGATATATTGTTATGAGAATATATGATTTAAATAGGGTTACAACACAGTCATTGGAGAACGCGGTGCATCACTATCAGGTGGTCAGAAACAGCGCATTGCGATCGCTCGCTCTTTGTTGCGTGACCCGCCAGTGCTGCTGTTGGACGAAGCCACATCTGCACTCGACCCGCACTCTGAGAGACAAGTACAGGTAGCACTTGACCGAGCTAGTGTTGGCCGTACTACTATTATGGTATCGCACAGGTTAGTAATAGTTTTACTTTATTACTGACAGTCAATTTAAACACATATTGTAAAACAGTATATTTAAAGTACTCTATATTGTAATTACAGATTAGCTACAATAGTAAACGCCGAGCGCATTATATGCATGGACAAAGGAGTTATTGTAGAACAAGGTACACATGAGGAACTTATAAAAATGAAAGGTATGTTGTCTATACAAATAAATAAAATTGGAGTGTCTGTTTGTAAAATTAAAATAACCGCTTTTTACTAAATACATACGAGTATGTATGTTTACACGGTACATATGCCAAAATAACATTTTTCACAATTTTTGTCTGTCTGTCTGTCTGTCTGTTTGTTCTGACGGACTTTCACTGGCAGATAGCTGATGACATAAGGAGTAACTTAGGCTACTTTTTTTAGACTAGCTTCGCCCCGTGGCTTGCCCGCGGTTATAACAACAAACGCGGGTAACACCGCGGGTCTCAGCTAGTTCTATTATAAATTTGGTATTTACGTTACATTGAGTATAAACTGATACCTTATAATCCATTGACAGGTTTCTATTACAATTTGGTGGTAGCTGATAATCAGGGAAACGACAAATTTAAGCCACTTGAAGAAATCGTAGACTTGGCAGAAGGCATTGAAGAAGAAAATGATATTGAAAATGATACTAAGTTACGCATTGATGATATAAGAAACGATAGACGAAAATATGAAAATCGTCGACGAATGCAGAGACAAAATTCAGTAAAAGGTGACTATTTTGTTAATACACAATTTAAGAATGCAATTGATAATTTTAGATAGCATAATGGTTAATACTAGACTTGCAACGAATAGTATATTCGGCAGTATACCGAATACCGAATATTCGGCGAGGCCCCTGACCGAATAGCCGAATATTAGGCAAAAGTATTCGGCTGGATTTTAGCGCCAAAAACTTGTACAGACGTGAATTAAATTATGTACCTTTTTTATGTACCAATGACTACTTAATAAATGATTATAAAAGAAATAAGAACCTTACCCTTCTAAATTTTGATTACCACAATAATTCAAATACATAGAATCCTCCATTTTTCCAATTCAGAAGATGATTATGTACCTGTGTTATGCACCAATGACTACTTAAATGATTATAACAGAAATGAAAATATGAATATATACGTAATCAATCGATTTTAATTTTTCATTTTACCAATTATTTCTCAATGACAAAATATATTATTTAAGTATTCGGTATTCGGCCGAATAATATGTAGATATTCGGTATTCGGCCGAATATAATAAAAGCAGCCGAATACGCCAAATACCGAATAGTAACCGAATATTCGTTGCAAGTCTAGTTAATACACATTAATATGCGAATATCAAATTTCTCAGAAACTAATTTATAACATGTTAAAAGCCATTTGGCATATTTTTTTACCATCATAATTTTAATACGCTAGAGATACAAAGGTCGGAGGAAAAATTTCAAAGCTGGGCCTTTATTTTGTAAATAAAGACAAAACATTACTTTGACATTACTTGTAGGTTTATACCTTAACTAAACGATGGAGTTATATATTCTAAATTTGGTGAAAATCAAAAAGATCTTTTAAATGTTTCAGTTTGAAATTGTTAATATTTTACAGACTATCAGGGTTGGATGACACCCGGAGGCTCTATTTCTTCAGCAATGTCAGTCGGCTATCAAGTTTTCATGCAACACGACGAATCCGAAACTAAAAATGAGGAAGATGTAAGTCATTTATTATTTCATTTCTTATGTTAATTTCTTATTTAATTGTTATAAAAAAAGGTAATCATATTTTTTTTATAGGAACTTGCAGAAATGAGTGAATGGCAGATATTAAAGTTAAATTCCCCTGAGTGGATTTATACCACCATAGGCGCTCTAGCAGCAATTGGTCAAGGTGCTTGCTTCCCAGTTTTTGCTCTGCTATTGGGTTTAGTAACATCGGTAAGATATTTTTTTTCTCTTCTAAATTATGCATTTTGATTATATTGTGCTAGGTTATTAATTAATAATAAAACACAGAACATGAGGTTGAGAGTTAAATTACACAGGTAAAAATATACATAACTTATTTCCTATTTTCACTTTGAGTTATTTTGGTTTTAATTGAGGCTAAATGGAAAAAAATGAATACATATCAAATAAAAAAATGTTATAAAAGTGGGTGATAGCAGCAAGGCGAGCTTGGCATATACCAAACGTTCAAGTGGAATTGTAGCGAGGTCTGAAATTTACATTATTTCTTTATAAGTTACTAGCTGTACTCTGCCGCACTTTGCTGTAGTTACATTAATTAGAAATGAGGGATAAAACTACATCGAAAAAAATTTGAAGTAATTTGTATAACGTGCCAAATTTGAGCTTAATCGGTGCAGACGAAATAACTTAAGTTCTATATATACGAGAATATATAACTATAAGTCTAAATACAAGAAAATATAAATAAAAATGTAAATTGAGTGGGGCAGGGGCAGGAAGATTAAAGAAATGTTTATTAGACAAAAATACTCTTAATAATTTTTACGACGCCGACGCCGCGACGTTGCTTGAAACCAAGTGTATTCACACGTACTGTTCTAAAATAATATTTCCTTTTCATTTTCAGATATTTGTCCTTAAAGACCATAATGAACTGCTCTATTTTGCTGACTTATATGCAGGTCTTTTTGTTTTGGTGTCAAGTTTTGCAGGATTATGCATGCTTCTACAAAGCTTTACGTTTACAAGAGGCGGTCTCAAAATGACTACAAGATTAAGAACACAGTACTTTGCAGCTTTGCTACGACAGGTAACTTGCATTCATTACTTTGTCTTATCGATACGAAATATTTTTATAGCAAGACAGATACATTTTACAGCATTTTTCGAAATTCATTACGAGGTGACTGACAATGTTTTATAACTTTTTCAAACACTGCTTTTCACAACTTTAAAGAAAACTATTGTTAGAATAGTCTAGTCAAAATGTTTTTCAAAAAATATTTTTTTAACATACGTGACATCGTTTATACAAAGATTTTAAATGTTTAATAGGTATGTCAATATTAAAATATTTTGGTTGATAAATATCCTTTACGATCAATTTTATAAGTTCAAAACAATGCATTTTTGTTTATTTCTTGTTAAAAATACTATAGATATATTCAAGCTTTATATGAGATACAGGCACCATTTACAATTAATGACTCCATTGCAATGCATAAAGTACATATTTAACCTATCCTACCTACATACTACACCATTATAAATATTGATAGCCTACAATAAACACTGCCTTGATTCGTTGATTAGATTAAAGAAAATACAGTAATTTACATTTATCCACATATATTAACAACTTACACGTTCCTAATGAGACAACATGCCGTGTTGGAGCAATAAGCTAAAAGCCTATTTGACAAAACTGAGATTGTTGCTATTGTGCGTGTTAACTATGACTTTAGAGTCTACATAAGAGATGACTTCAAATAAAGCGTAAGCTTTATTGGGATGGTTAAATACCCATTTATTTACTGATTTTATTTACTTGTTTTTTTTTCATAGGAAATAGGGTTTTATGACAATCAGAATAATACAGTGGGTGCTATTTGTGGGCGACTGAGCGGTGACACGGCTGAAGTACAAGGTGCCACAGGATTGCGAATCGGCATCATATTGCAAGGAATTAGTTCAGTGGCAATCGGGATTGCTATGGGAATGTTATACGATTGGCGTTTAACACTAGTTTCTTCCACATTTTTACCATTGGTAAGCAGGTCATCTTTTATTCTCTAAATAACAGTATTGCTGGTTCCTTACATAATGTAAAACTAAAATTATCCATCTTAACCACCTTCAAACTTGGGTCACTCATTCTTCATAATATTAATAATTTACTAATAAATGATGAACAAAAAAAACACCTGGACGGTTGCTTTACAGATGGTGGGTAGCATTTGGCTAGAAGGCCGAATATCAAGGAAGTCGCAACTAGACGAACGTAAGGCTATGGAAGCTGCTACCAGTGTCGCGACAGAAGCTGTAGTTAGCATCAAGACGGTACAAAGCCTAGGTAAGTTTGCCTCATGTACCTCGTACTAAGATTTCTGCTACTATACTACTACTGTAATTTAAGGTTTTAAGTAAAAGTTATTTTTTTTTTCTTGTAATCCATAAAAGCTAATGTAAATATATTTTATTCTGAGAGGTCGACACGGTTTAGTGACCTAAGTTAGCGGTTGTTAACATATCCCAAGTATTCTATTTCTTAATATGTGATTACTGAAGTACCACAGAGTCAAGCCATTATGAAGTATTCATAAATCTATGACGCGTTAGTAATAGATGGCGTTACGTTACGTTACATCACAAACAACCATAAAACGTTTTAAAATCTTTAACTGTTGTTATACTCGTACGTAAGTGAACATGATTTGGCCCAGGATCTGTACTACCTCAAACCTTCGAATACCGACGGACAGTTAATCGTAAGAATTCCTTCGTTCAAAAAAAATGAGGCGATAGAACCTTGGTTTGCCCTAGGTATTAATTTTGTAGCTGTTGTAACTCCCTGTCTTGTCGAGTGCTGTTTCTTATTTATTGTTTATTCGTAATGAATTCAATTGTTAGTTAAAATTAACAAAAACATTCTTATCATTATGATAAAAAAAAAATACTTCAGGTATAGAGGAAGTATTTCTGCGGAAATTCGAACAGTCACTCCACGAGGGTTGCTCCGCGATACTACCAAAGTTGCGCTGGCGCGGTCTGGTATTGGGTATGGGTATTTACATGTCATTCTTATCGCCTTGCTGCGCTAACGCCTACGGTGCCGCCAGGATAGCCACTGGTTCCCTGGACTACAAAGTTGTAATTTTGTAAGTATATATTCACCTTACTTGCATTTTTGTTCTAAATTATTTAAAAAAACTCCCGCTCAATATATCCTGTGTCGCGGATGACTTTATGAACATAGATGAAATGGACACAAAGACCACCCAGAGTCAGAAAAACAATTTTTGGATCACACAAAGGGATCGAGGCGAGGTGATCGCTTAAACCACTACGCCCTCTGTGCAGTCTGAATCATAATTATAAACTCAAAACTAGAGATTTAAAATCTTGAAAAAAAATTATTATATTTCGCAACCTTTCAATTATTGATACAACTTCGTTCATGATATTTCAATAGCTTTCCTAAAGGAGGCCCAGTGCCTTAGCTTCTATAGCTCGTAAATGTTCATTTAACTTTTTGCAGGGTCACCGAGGCTTTGATATTCGGAGCCTACATATTAGGTCAGACACTGGTGTATGCGCCCAGTATGACCAATGCTAAAAGATCTGCAGCAAGAATCGTTTCCGTGATTAAGAGAGAACCAGTAGTAAAGACAGAAAGCTGTGTCAATGACGACAAAGATTGGGTGAGTTGTTTTAAAGTTCTAAGGATCTAGTGTAAGTTTGTTTCACATCAACTCGTTCGTAACGTTCGACGTTGCGATTGATGTAGAGTAGAGAAATAAAAACACACTAAGCAATCTGATTCATTTAAACGTTTCACTCTAATTCTTTTTCAGGCCGCTAGTGGAAGTTTCAGCTTAAATGAAGTAGAATTCAGCTATCCGACAAGAAAGAAGCATAGAGTTCTGAGAGGTATAAACTTAAGAGTGGAAAGCGGAAAGACTGTGGCTTTAGTTGGATCTTCTGGATGCGGAAAGTCTACTATATTGCAACTAATGCAAAGGTTTTATGACCCGGACTCTGGAACTATTGTAAGTACTAACCTGCTACTACTAACAAGTGAATTGATAAATTTAAAGATTCTTAGGAGTGTCAACCGTTAGAAAAGAACTGTCATCTTGTTTCTTTACTGTGTTGATTCAATACATTCAAGAATAAAAGTTTTAAATTAGACGATTACAAAAATCAAAAAATTCGGGCTGCTTCTTTGCCGACACCCGATTATAATTAAATATAGCATTTTTGTTAAACTATATGATAATATGTTTTGTACTTTACCACCAAAAACGGCAGGCAGGCATTACAGGCAGACAGAAAATAATACAAAAGTCACTTGTTAGTTAAGTCACTCCTTTTATTATTTCTGTTTTTTGGGCTAAGTATAAATACGCTGGTTTCTGTGGTTTGACTTAGATATAGACCATAGATATAGCGGAAACATGCCATTTGCCAGTAACCTAACCATAACACATAATACCACACACCAAAGTAGTTTCTTGCTACCTTACCGAAGTACGAGTGTAAATTTGAGAATCGATTTTAATAGGAGCTGGACGGAGCAAACACCAGGACTGCTCTCACCCTACCCCGACTGCGCCAACAGCTGGGTGTAGTGCAACAAGAGCCTGTACTCTTTGACAGGACCGTAGCTGAGAATATTGCTTACGGCGACAATACTAGAAAGGTCGAAATTAGTGAAATTATCGAAGCTTGCAAAGCTGCAAACATACATGCATTTATCACTTCTCTACCAGACGTAAGTTTTCTTCAAGTTCATTTTATATATTATCAATTTTACCGCGTCTTTCTATACTTTTCACCGAGTGCCGCTCACTACTACGCTGAATGCTGTGGATCCGATCCCCACATGGGATGACACTTTGTGTGATCCACAAATTGTTGTTCTGAGTCTGGGTGTTCTTTGTGTCCGTTTCATGTAAGTTCGTAAAGTCCCCCGCAACACAGGTTCTCTTCGTTAGATCTTATATTATTGAATTAAATGTATTTTTATTCAAATGAATTCTTAACAATCATTTGCCATTGATCGGCAGCCTGATCCCTAACAAGGCAAAACCTTTTATGATAGTAACCAGGCTGCTGATAAACATACTTATATATTTCTAAATACTTACGTAATATAGATAAATTATACACAGACATATTTCTCCTACGTTCTTCATTAAAATTCAAATCGTCATTCCATGTCGTTTCCTAAATTTTCAATAATAATAATTATTCATTTTACTCTTTTCTATCAATATCTGCCAAGAGTTGTAATGTTTCAGGGATATGACACAAACCTCGGTGCTAGTGGTGCTCAATTGTCAGGCGGCCAGAAGCAGCGAGTATGCATCGCACGTGCTCTGGTTAGGTCGCCTCGATTGCTCCTACTAGACGAAGCCACCTCGGCGTTAGACACGAGCAGTGAACAAGTAAGCTATCGCACATTGTTTCACCAATCACCTTATAAGAGATAATGAAGAAAAACAACTAGGACTAGATTTAACAAATTATCACTTCTTATAGAGATGGTCACTTTTCAAACTAGATTATTAAACATTTGGCTTCTCAGGTTTATACTTTCATAACTTTACTCTGCTATAGTGAAAATAAATTGTATTATAGCATACAGACCGTCGAGAACGAGAACGAGTAGATTACGAGTAATGACTACGATTGGCAAGCGTACGTGAAGTTCTTCCCGGGAGAAAGAAAATAAAGTTATTTCCTAATTCTGGTGATATGCGCTATCAGATACCAGCAATGTATGACCATTCATTGATCATAAGAAATAGAAATTATTAAAATGTGTTTTCCAGGTTGTTGCAGAAGCACTAGAGGTAGCAGCTAAGGGTCGCACCTGTATCACGATTGCTCATCGACTATCAACTATTAAAAACTCGGACATAATATGCGTATTGGAGAAAGGTATTTAAACCACAAATCACTTATTTTAATATAAATAACTAATAGAGTATTTGCACCCTTTCCTGGAAGGTAATTTAATTTAACTAACACTTTGAGGACTATATTATAATTATAATAGAATTTGAAATATATTTTATTTTATATTTTAAAGTGTCGCGTGTCATTTGACAAAGCGCTGAACGCCATGTAAGCAATATTGTACATGTTCATTTCGTCAAGTCGACAGTAAAACCATAAAGTATAATTCAATAATAATTGACTTTTTACTGGATTAATGATGAGTTACTATCATTTTAATTAGTCATGTAGAAAAATAGTTAATCCTTACTCTTTTACTGATTTAATGCGTGGTGTCATGGCAACGTGAATTTCACACACATATAAACAAATAAAAAACTGATACTTAAAAAAAACTTTAAAAAGTATATAATTGTATAAAGTAAAAGTAAAACTTTACTATTGCCTTTACTAATCAATCAGATATTTTGTTAATTTATCATTATATTCACAAAATAAAATATATCACCTTTTTTTATTGTTTTGTAGGTAGAATCGTGGAGCGAGGTAATCATGAACAACTCGTCAAGATGCAAGGACTGTATTACAATATGTGTAAAGGCCAGAATATGACATGATCATGTTCGAAAGACTGGTTACACATCATAATAACTGTATATACTATATCAGCTAATTGCTACAAATGCAACCTATGAGAGGTTTCCGTTAAATTAAACAATGTACCTATTATTCATAATTACTTAGAATTATATAATTTTAGTCATTATACTTCGGTTATATTATATAACGTAGTAAAAAGAACGATCTAATTTTTCATGTGTATGTTTATTTGTCGGTATGCTGGTGTGCATGAGTTTGTCAATTTTACTCATTTGGCCGCTGTGCGTATAGTATGTATTTTTAGTTGCTAACTCCTTTAATCTACAGAATGAGGTGTTGATTTGCAATGGTACTGACCTATGTTTTATCGATATTTTTACCACCTAAAAGAAAAATGGTAATCCCCTATACGTCACTTTATTTTCAATAGGTGCTCCTTTTTGGCAAACGTGTTGTATGCTTCTAGAAATTAATCGAAAAGGCATCGATTTGGTGTAAATCTACTATATATTGTATTAAATATGCATCATTAACACACCGTATGGTTTTAAGGAGTTTGTTAGAATGAAATTCGCGCTTTATTTTTATTACCACATTGACATTTCATTCAATTTCCGCGTGTTTTACACGTATTAATCAAGTTACAGCTTAAATATAATGTATAATTTGGTTGATAGGACGAATATAAATCTACATTCAACAACGTCGACAACTTATTAACTCAATTGTTATTAAACAATATTTATATACTATACGAGGCGTCAGAGCTTCAATATACTTAAGGGTATGTGTATGTTTAATTGTTTTTAGCCCTTTAACTAATTAGAAACTATTATGAATATAGTTTTAGTGCATGTCTTGGTAGTGTGCGTGTCTTGAAATAATAGTTAATGCCATCGATATTATTCAATTAGATTGTGGAACGAATTAATGATAAATTATGTATTGTTATAAGAATATATTTAAAACATATGTATGTATGACCACTAGGCTGGTATACATAAAATTTTAATTACAAGTAAGAGCATGGGTCTAATTTGTTTAAAAATAATTTCAAAGATTATAATTTTAGTGTCGTTATTAACTTGCCGATGTCTTTATTATTTAAAATCAAAATTTTTATTTTTATTAAGTTAGCAGTAATGTACAATATTATTGCTAATAATATACTATTACTTAACTTACGAGCATAAGTATATCCGTAATAAATAATTTATGATGTTATAGGTTGTTATCATTTTGTTTCTCTATAAGCTCATCATTACTTTTATTAAAATGAAATATGACATTGAGATTGTTATTTTTATCAATAATAACTCTAAATATATTATGAATCAAGCAAGAATTTATATATTCCCTCGTAAAAGTAATTAATATGGCTTTGCAAACTAGACAATTCTAGCTGAAAGAAATCTTCAGGAAGCCAAATTGGTTAGCTCATTTGGTTAAAATGTTGTTACTCAATCAAGTCGTAAGCTTTATTTGCAAATAAAGCTTTACAAAAAGAATTGTACATAAAAAGGATACCTAGATGTTGACAAATCGATGTTTTATAACTCGGGGCTATATCGAGTAAATTGTAAACGCTCGGTAAGCGATAAAAGTTGGTCTCAAGGAAACTTGCAAAGTCCTTCGTGATAATTTTTCTCTTGCAAATGATACATTATTTATTAACTTTAAGCATGTACTAGAGTTGCTAAAAACTTTTAAAGGCTAAGGTTTTCTAATTTGAATGTTAAAATAAATAATTTGTGATGTGAAACGTTTTTTTTTCAGTCTTCAAACATTGTCTGTTCGTAATTTTATACTCCTGCTCGTGCCCTAGTAAAGTGCAATTACAATTTTATTCATCATCATCATAATTTACTCAGTTAAATTCTACAAAAACTTACGTCTCTTTCTATCGCGTAACTCTTATTTTTCTAAAAAAGTTTGCGTTAAGTTTGAGATTTTACTGTATTGTGATCAAATGACATTTCAAGTATACTTAGTGTAGGTATTGTATTATTATATTTCACAATATCTGCATAGACACTTTAACGTTAGAAGGAATAAAGTGTGTACTTTGTGTATGAAACTATCTCTCTTCGGTGTTTAGAATGTATCTAAACATCAAACGTATCAAATCGGCAAAAGGATACAACGCTAACAAGATAGCTCAAGAGCCAACTCCCTAGAATCATGATGTTGGTTTTCAGATATCTCGATTACTATGTGGTAAGCGACTAAACAACGACTCAAAGCAATGCATAAGTATAGCGAAATAACGTGCGACTGCAAGTACGCCGCGGCCGTTGCGGGGCAGCCCATTGCACCAGTGGGTCCGACAATACGGAGCCACGGCTTGCAACTAGCTTCAGACACAAAGTGAAAACCGGTGATAGGTGATATTTAAAAAAGCATATTCTTGTTACACAACAGTATTTCGTAGAAATACTTGTATTTCCTAGGCGATAAGCATACAAAGCGAAAAGCAATAGATCATTCCCTAAGCGATTATTCGCTTTTTCTGTTTAATCATAAATAAGAACTTCTGATTCAGACTAGCCACTGTCACTTCTTCCGTTTACAAATTAATTATTACTAATAAATTTATATAATTTATTAAAAGCCTGTAATGTAATATTGCTTTATCTCAACTGATTATTACAAAGCGTATTGATTATTTATTTATCTGCTGTAAAGTTGACAATAATGCGTTTGGAGTATTAACCTAAATTTCTATATTAATGTGTTGTTGATTCGAATTCTGGCGTTATAACGACAAATTTAGTAGAATACTTTATTATTTATTAAGTATTAAAGTAATCAAAATGTCATCTATCATCTTTGTTACATTAATTTGTTCCGTTTGGTACCATTGTTAGCGTGTTGTTATTTTATTCTCCCTGTCAGTCCAGAGTTCTAAATATCGGTTCTCGGTTAAAATGTATCATTTTATATTACTTATTCATAAAGATTATGTAATTAGTTTGTTTTGGGCTGTAGAAGCTTTAGTTTGTAAACATTGAGCACTTTTCATCGAGCCTTGAAAACTTCAAATTCCTACTCATGAGCATATTACAAGTATCACATCAATATTATGAAACCATTTTTAACTACACGATATGAAACCCAGAAAACATAAATCTACATTTATTAGGATAGTTACATCGGTATGTTCAAGTTATATCTAAGGTCACCAATAGACTTTCACTGGATGGTACTAGCTGTAGAATATAACTATTTTTTTTTCAAGAGTATCTTGCCACGATCTTGCTTAAACGAATAAAATGAAACCAACGTTATTTATTTATTGCCTTCAGTTAGGAACACCAACAGCTACAAAGATGATACTGGTTACTTTGATATACAACATAAAGTCAATTGCAGGTAATATTGAAACATTATAATTTACTAGGGGTTCTTGAACACTAACCAACACTAATATTTTAAATTTAAAGTTTAGCATACTGCGCACAACATCGTTCTTGGCATTAGATTAAGTACTCTTTACACAAATCATTGAAATATGTGAGTTTTTTATATTGATGGAGTAAGAAAATAGAATAGAAATGGGTGGATTAAATCTAACCAACATTTGGGGACATCAAGTTTTAATTTGTTGCAAAAGACTAGGACAATCAAATTTATTAGAAACAATTCAAAAGAAAAGAACTATCAGCTAATCGATTACGATTTACAAGTGGTTGGAAATGAAATTTCTTTTACAGACTTTGTAGTTGTTAGAGCTACAAGGAATATTTATTTCCGCTAATCTCTGGAAGAGGAAGTAGTGAGTCTGACTACTCCTGTTTCAAATTATTGATTTGTCCAGTTTGTTTATTTGTTTTGCAAGACATTTTTTATTGTCGTTGTTTATTCTGGCTCGAACATAATTCAGTGAAATCGATCGTCAAAGGATCAGTTTTCGTCGTGATTTATATAAACATAAACAATGTTATCGAAACAAGTATAAATAACGGTAAACTCTCCATCGTATAGGGTTTTTAATTTTGTTATCGATAGATGTTTGTTGTAATCAAAATGCGTTTCATATTTTTAAATTATGTATTTCACGTAGTGTGTGCATACTATACAAACATGACCATTGTGGTTGAACCTGGGCAAGCAGGCTGTTTTTATCAAAATTTGTCTGATAGTGAAGTTATAAAAATAGAGTATAATGTAATAGACTCGACACTGGGCGATTTGTACGTCAACTTCCATCTTGCTGACCCTGAAGGTGAAATGATTGTAGCAGATTTTATGAGATCAGAAAATGAACATGAATACAGCGTAGTTCATGAAGGAACGTATCGTTTCTGCTTCGACAATACTGTCACTAACTACAATTCAAAAACAGTGGACTTTGAAATACTAATAAGAAATAAAGGACAAAAGCAGCATGACCATGACAATGAGGAGATGCAGTTAGAAGATGGAGAAGATGCATATAGTATGCGACTACAAGATATATATGAATCTCTTTCACGCATAGAAAGAAATATAATCGTTGCGCAGCAGTGTCAAATGTACCAGGCAGCACGTGGAACCAGGGATAAACATATAATGGAAGAAATGCGCTATAGGGTCTCAAGCTGGTCCAAATCACTTATTATTTTAATGATGTTAATAGGAATAATACAGGTCACAATTGTAAAAAATCTGTTCAAAGACAGAAAAGTGATGCAAAGCAGTGGAGAAAGAGATCGAAATGTAACGCAGGAGTAAAATTATGTTTATTTTCTGTAGCAAATAAAACTTAAATTCAAACGAGTCGTATAAACAAATAATTTATGTAATTTAATGATACGAGTAACAATTTTACTTGTAATAGTCTGGTAGTTATACAAGTACTAAGCTGAAGTTTAAAAGATAAAACATAATCCTTTTTTTTATTTTAGGTTGTTGAAAAGGCTATAACAACCCTCTTATAGGATGATTTTGGTGCCCGTCTTTCTACCTGTTCTACTAAAACAATTTTGTTTAATTACACGTTTAATAATCAATTTAACGTTAACATCAAATATTATATTTACAGCCCTTGAATCTGTACAAAATGGCCAAGCTTATAATATAAAGCAGTCAAAGGATGCGACCATTTAAGCCTCGTATAGAACTATTTTTTGACTTTACAGTAAAAATAAAACTAGAGTAGTTAGGTACTTCCCATTAACTTTCAATCGAGAAGTTTGGTGAGAAGGAACTTTTCACAACACAAAGGAACAAATCCGAAAGTCCCTAATTTCATTTTTGCTGTTACTAACTTATATTTTGCTCTTAGTAAGGTGACATATCGATGCATGGAGAAGTATTTTCATAACGACAAAATTAAGTTAACTTTTAAATTAGAATGGGCAAAAGTTTTAGAGAATAGATTCGCGAGATGGCGACGATTTACATACAAAGTAAAACCAATAGCAATGTTTATACATATGAGTATATTGAATTACGTGCAAACGAGCAGACAGGTCACCTGATGTTAAGTGATTACCGCCGCCCACAGATACATTCTTTTTAACAACTTATTCCAAGTCATCAAAGACGCGTAAGGCCGCGAATTGTCATAATTTAACCCATAAGCCCACGACGGCCCGACCTTTGTTATTTTACAAAAGCTGAAAGATTTTCTGGGCATGTCCCCTAAACAGGTAAAAACGACCAGCGACTATAGAGTTTGGGTTGTGGTTACTTGGGCAGATAATAGGTAGTAAAGGTGTATAAAATAGTACAATAAATTCGTTAAAGTATAAAGCTCAATTGTTTATATTTTCTGCGGGATAACTTTAGAAATCTCGTCATCCATTGCCGGACACTTATGACAGTTGCTACTCCCTGCCAGACACCAAAAATGTTTAATAAATTATAATCATACTTTCGTTATAGTATAAAAGCAAAATTGAATATATTTTACTTGGGGACCTATAAAAAAATGTTACCTCAATAGCCGGACAGTTTTAATAGTTTTTACATCTTGCCAGACACATTGACAGTCCGCTCTGGGTGCGAACGCGAGTGCTTAGTCAATTGCGATCTTTTAAGATATCAAATAAATAAAAGGACATTCATAGACATGTTATATAAAGTAAAAACTGATATTTTAATATTATAAAATACAAAAAAGTATTATTATATGTAAAAAAATATTTAATCATTTTAAAAATTTCATCATTGTCGTCGATATTTTCATTTTCTTCGTCACTGCTCCTCCAATCGATGGCATGATGGTCGTCAATATCGCCTTCTTCGTATTTTCATGTAGAAACCTACACAAAGAACACCCAGACTCAGAACAACAATTTGTGGATCACACAAAGTGTGGTCCCATGTGGGGATCGAATCCACAACACTCAGGTCTGGTTTCTTGTGCTGTTTTATCTGGTTTCTCTTCTTGGAATGTTTTGTTCAAACGAGCTAATATAAACATGTTGACAGATTTTGAAATCCCCTTCTAGACTTAAGTCACACCACGACTCACCTGCAAATTGATCAGACTAGAAATCCGAATAGTTGTAGGAACTATAACAGTACACCTAACCCTGAACCGACAACTATTCACCATTAATGCGACGGACAGTCCTCTTTGCAGAGGATGTCTGAAAGCAGAAGAAACTTCAAAATTTCAAGTAGTACAATGATGATTTAATAAGACGTGACTTTTTCGTTCTGATTATATTAATGCTTCAATTAACATGGCCTATCGCTCTATTATATACCTTTATTGATCTCTGTTTAAATTAAAATAGGATCATTATTTACAATTCTATTAGATTATTTTATTCTTCAAAACCATTTCATCTTTGATTCTTAATTACTGCTATATTCTATCAGTCAATCTAGCTTTCACAGTACAAGTTCTGCTTAGTTTGAAACTAGACGGCGTTGTGTGTCAGATGTCCGAATTATTTATTACCAATACAATTAAATATCATGATGGCAAAATACTTTAGTGTTCACTAATTAAAAGGGAGTTAATAAGTAATAAGTTTAAAATATTAAGAGAACATATTTTATTAGATTAATATACCTACTAGATCTACCGTATCATAATGTCTACGAACAAAATCATTAAATGAAAATACTTTGTCTATTTTTCGAACAGCGCGTTTTGCAGATTATTTTTCACACAATTTTATTTCATTTTGGCACTTTGGCGCAGCTCCATTCTCAAGTCATTGTTAAAAAGCAAATAAACAAATAAACTGATTATAATTACTATTTTCTTTAGTGGTTGAAAACACATCAGAGGAATTATTCCCGAATGATTTATGAATGAGATGCGAGTCTTAAAATAGAGACAAATATGAAAGAACGTACTGTAAGATCTTAATTTTAAAAGTAATTGCTTGCATTTGAACTTTCATACTTATGTGTTGTGTTTATCATTAAATATAATTATGTAAAGTCTATATTTTGGAAATGTTTATCTTTTTTAAATGGTACTTCCATTTTAACATAATAAATGGTGTTGTGACTTAAATGTTGAACATATTCTTTACTTATTAAATGAAATAATAAACTTAGATTTCATGTACATCCTCATATACTTTTAATCCATATAATTTAAATAATTAAGAATAAGAAAAAAGTATGTTAGTGTACTACGCTAACTTTTTCTTCTGTTATGACCTTTTTTAAATACATTTAAACTAACATTAATATTACAACAGAATAAAGAGTAATAAAAAGAAATTTTACTTATTTGCATCGAAATCATCAATGACAATGAACTGCTGCAAAGAACTTTCCAGTAAGTAGTACACTTCCTTAATTGTAGAACACTAGAACGGTTAAAACACAACGCAAATATTATATTTACGAACGCGGAAAAGAACCAACCTCTGTTAATAAACGAGTCAGGTTGTAGGTATACAAACAAAAGGCTGCTACAAATAATAGGTCGATAACATAAAGTAACCTCAATTTTGGCTCCCCTAGTCACGGGCCTTTGCGTCCCCATGACAACCCAACTATGACTATAGCGATAGACATGGAATTCGTCTTTCACAGGTAGTGTGCGACCTGAAGTTGACCTGAGTAGTTGGCTACCACCTAGCACTCGTCCTCGTCCAATTGTCTGACTTAATTATGACGACACGAAGGCAGTGGCGACGGCGAGCAGAGAATATATTTACAGGGTATGGACTCATTTGTAACAGATTTAGTTTTCTGTAAGCCTAGCTCTAAAAGCAGTTGTAATGTTATATATGTGTATGTATGTTTCGAGTGTAGTTTCTACACAAATTGAAAAAGCGCAAGAGTGGTCATTTAAATAATAAACTAATAATAAATATTTTTAAAAACTATTTCATCATATACGGAACCTGTATTGTTTAAATAATTAAATTACGAGTAACTATGATATGTCAGTACTCGTATCTTTGTGCTTCGCATTCTCACCGAGTATTAGGGCGACTTTGCGTGTGAATGAAGTATGTAAAAAAGTTTATAGATTGATTAGGAACCTATCGTATCCTTTTCTGTATAGACACACCCAGGAACTATGTGGGGAACAGTTTTATTAAAAAGTACCAAACATAACAAAAGAATAAACCAATTCCTCCTTCCTGTTGACGACCGAATGGCGTAGTGGTTTGTGTAACGGACTGCTATTCCAAAGGTCGCGGGTTCGATTCCCGCTCAAGTCAAACATTTGTGTGCATGAACATTTAATGTTTGATTTGGTCTGGGTGTTTCTATGTATAATAAGTATGTATTTACAAAAAAAAAGTATATATGTATTTATATCAGTTATCTAGTACCCATAGTACAAGCTCTGCTTAGTTTGGGACTAGATGGCGTTGTGTGAATGTGGTAGAATATTATTATTATTATTTATTATTATTGTTGAGGCCTCTTTAACTACTATGAGTAATGAATGAAGTAAGCCCAATATTTTGTTCACCACACATCTCATTTTCCCATGAAAGAAGAATACTTTATACACATATTTGTAAATACTTATAATAAATAATGAAGCCTTATTTTATTATAACTACAATCTTTTCTAGTGCAAATGTTGTGATGCCATTTTTTCTGTGCGAAAAGAACGTCGGATACTACCCGCTGTTGGGATGGTTATGACAGGCTCTAACCGGCTAAAAACCGCACGCCATCTCAGGTACTACTCAGGTTACGCCGGAGAAACAGCTGTACCCTAGGAAGCAAATCCGTGGTTCCCCGATGTACCTTGGGCAATCTACGGCTTGTAGATGATATCCTATGAATTCTTATGGTACCTGACTTTTTCTTTATAAAATTGTAATTTCTGTTTTCTGTGTAACTAGTATGGCTACAAAAGATAATTGAGAAGCACCCCCAATATAGTGTTGTAATACCATTGAAGTAGGTTTGTCAGACCATATTATCCAAGATATACAAAACTTCGCGATCCGAATGTATAACGTACCGCGTACGATACTTTACGATATAATTTATACGATTGTATAACGTAGAGTAATTGCTAGTAAAAATATCCTAAAAATATAAAACTAGTTTAATGTTACGTTTTTAATTACACCTGAAAGCAATGAATCCAATAAAGCATCGGAATTCAATAATAATAGATCAGTAAAATAAATTGTGTTTAATACACAAACATGTAATAAAATTTATTTGAGCTTTGGTAACTATAAAAATATAAGTGGGTCCCACGTCGGAAGACATCCTCCCGTTCATATATTTTTGTCTGCAGTTGATTGAGCTGAGGGAAGTTTTTTAAAAGCATGTAT